GTTTTTTTTTTTTTTTTTTTTTTTTTTTTTTTTTTTTTTTTTTTTTCTTTTCTTTTTTAAATAGCAGCATCCTGGGCAGCTAATGCTCTCTCACGGTGACAAATTAATGTTAAGTTGCATGGTCTTTCCAATTACTCAATTCCACCCCTTCCCCACCCATCATTCTAGTATTTTACATAACTCAATGTTTTAAAAATAAGAATTTGGTATTTTGGAACTTTGTCCCATGCGAGGCATTGTGCTTTAAACTGCTCCTTTCTTAAAATGACCCTAAATTCAAAGACAGCAGGGTCTGCTTTCTAACTGACTTGGATACCATGCATAGCAAAAGCACAGTTGTTAAACCAGCAGAATTTTTTCTCCCAGTAAGGAACATCAGTAGGACTTCCCAACACGTTACTAGTTCATAACCAGCTATATGACAAAGCAATTGGGTCCCCGAAGTGACAGCTCACGCACACATATTTTGACTTGACACACTAGTAAACAAGGATTTCCAGGATAAGGAGTCATCCAGACCTGCTCCCTTAAAGGAGTAACTTCTAAAAACAAACAAAGTCAAAAGAATTATGAACTTCTCACTTCACTTGCAATTTTCACCTAAGACAAAACAAAGCAACCTCAAAGGAAAAAAACCCATACACATATACAGTAACTGTACTAGACATTTGCTTGTTATGTACTTGAACTCACTGACTGCGAATCTGTTTTGGCTGAAAGGTGTACTGGAAACACAGTCCATGCACATATACATATATACATATATCTAGGGCGGTGACATTGTCACATGTTGCAAACACACTGTTTTTGCCTTTTTACACGGTTGTGATAATTCTGGTGTGGAACATGTGGTCCCAATGCTCCCCTCTTCTACAGCCCTTTCACAGCCTCTCTGCAGCTAGATTCTGGCTTTGTCTTTTGGATGCTACACATGGTGGGAAAAACTGATGCATGGATAAAGCACGAATCAGGAGTGCCTCTGCTGTATGCATTCATACTCACGAGCCTCTCAGACAACAGTGGAAGGTGGCTGTCTGATTGAACCCACAGAGCCCTGATGGCCAAACAGAAGGGTGATAGTGGCGGGCATGCTACATTATCAACAATAATGCACTCAGCGGGCTGGGGATTTAGCTCAGTGGTTCCACCACCTGCCTCACAAGCACAAGGACCCGAGTTCAATCCCCGTAAAAAAAAAAAAAAAAAAAAAAAAAAAAATGCACTCAGCAGAATAGGTATGATGTAACTAGCTGTTAGATGGAACAATAAATTCTTCCTTCTGTTCAATGAAAATTCTATTGCACTTATGCTTGTGAGATGCAAACACGAGGTGACCGCCTAAATAGCATGTCATCTTGCAGAATGTTGAAGCAAAAAAACCAAATTGTAGTTTTCAATGAGACATCACATCTCAGATATAGTTTAGAAAATAAATGAAAATTATTTGTATTGAATAACATATATGATGTGCTACCAAAAAAGAAAAAAGACCAAAAAAAACCAAAACAAAACAAAAAACCACACAAACCTAGTTTATAAACACTATTAACTGTTAGACTTCAAGATCTCACCACCAGTTTTAAAGCACAGACACAGACTAAAATCAGGGAAAAATATTACTTGTCTGATGAGGAGAGGGAGATGGTCAGATCGGAAGTCAAGTTTGAGGGCTGACAGTCTAGCTGAAGACTGACTTTATGTAAAGAAAAGTAATACATTCTACAGACCATTAACTCAGCTGCTAAGGTGGATTCTTCCGAAAGATTTTTAAAGGGAAGAACATTTAAAAGACAAAACAAATTATCTTCACTTTGTATTTGATGGGAAGAGAAAGCTGCGCGTGAAACTAATATGGAGAAAGGGACACGAACTATGAGATCTCATTGTCATCTGCCGGAGCAGTGACCATGATTATAATCAGCCTTTCCTGCTCCCGACACATGTACAATTTCTGCAACATCTTCCAAAACAACAGCTTTTGCATATGTAAATTTGGGAAGGAGAACTCTCACCACCACCCTAAATTGCAAGGATGACACCTCCACCCCCTTCCTTTCCCGAGTTAAGTGGGACGCACCATTATTTGGATAAATGAGAAGGCTCTGCCTTTGGATTCCTGCAATGGCCAGGACTTGAACAAGCTCCACAGAGCCCACAGCAGTAGCCGTGTGCTGTGTCTCCTTGCTACGTGTTCTAAATTGAATAGAAAGCTAGGAAAGTAACAAACACCAGCTAAAAATATTTTTCAGATCGTGCAGTTTTAAAAAATGGATGTTGGTTGTCGTGACTAGTTTCATATTAGAAACAGAAACAACACATGTTCTAAATGCAGAGATTATACCTTGAAACCAGTGTGCTAAACAAAGAGGAGCACTGTTCCAGGAATCCAAACACAGACTCTCAGCTTTTCATAAGAACTTTAAATAAAAAAATCCAGACCAGCTGCACTGGGTTAAGAGTTACAGTAGGTTTGTAACTGTCACTAAATTGATGCCAACCAGCAAGTCAACGTGGAAGAAGACTGAAATATAAGAGACTTCACTTGCAGTTGTTCACTTCTCTGTAATCATGAGAAAGTGCACACCACCTGCACCACCCCCTCCCCCAACCCCACCTGGTACAGCCCTCCACTACATTCCCCGCTCCCTAAATTCAAGAAGTTCACAATTCATTAGGAAACATTGCCAGGTACCGTATTTTAAGAGTCTTAAAACATTGTTGGACTCAGCAATACTTTTGTCATATTCATATATCTTTTTTTTATTGAATAAAGCAGCTTTGAAGCTTATCAGGCACTGCCCAACAAAACATTTAGTCCAAAAAAATCTGTTATGAACTTTTTAACCTTGGGCTAACAGCCAAGGACTCTGTACAAGAAAAACTGTAAAATATTTCATAGTTTTAATTCTGAAGCCTTTTACTGGCATTCTGTACACTTCTTTAAAAAAAAAAGAATAACAAAATGACTATTAACAAAAATCAGGGACAATATTTTCAGGCAACGAAAATTGGGGTAGAAGAAGCTTATTCTGAAAGTACATTTTAAACTGATAACTTAATGAAAATTAATTGCATAGAGCTGTGCATTTAGCCTTCAGCAAAACAAAACAGAAGCTATTTGGTATTGATACAAATCCATCTATTTGATAGTTAGTCATCCAATAGTATGTACATATTTTATATACTGAATGTCACTTTAAGTCCTGTTTTCCGAGCTCCATTTTTCTGTTGCTGAGTTGTTTTTTGTTTTGACAAGATTAAACACTTTCTGGCACTCTGCTACAATAGATTTTTCTCTGAACATGTGTGGACTGATGTCCTCCCCAAAATGTCCCTCATGAGCGAAGTGCCTTTCTGCTACATAGCATTCACTTGCTAGAAAATGAAATAATCCACAGTGCGATGTGTCTGGGCTCACTGCGCACAGCGACACCCAGGCTAACCCAGGCTGGACCCAGCACCCTTGGGCACAGGCTCTTCAGCCCTATCTTCCTTCTGGTTTCCAAAGTCCCAACTTTGAGCTGGTAAAGCTTCAGAAAGCATTAACAAGCACCATGGTTAAAGGCCTCTTTGTCCCTGCACGCAGAGATTTTTGCATTTCTTTTCTCTTTGTGTTGTGGCTTTAAATTAAACCAAAATTTTTAAAAAAAGGATAAGCAGTCCAGGTTAGAAACAGCTGATCATCCTGCAGCCCTAGGCTGTGTGCCTTCTCCCTACTTCTTTTTGTCCAAGAAAGCTCTAGTCCCATCTGCAGAGAGACAATGGCTTTGTTTCTGCAGCTCAATTCACAGGTCAGGCTGGAGAGGAGCCCTTTGCTTCCCAGAGGCCTCAGGTGGCTGAAGGTCAGGAACATGATCGGAGGGCAGCGCTCATCGCCTCTGCTGTGCATATACGGGGTATGCTAGTGTGACGTTGAGGGAGTCGTTGTGCTGCACGAGAGAGGTGTGTTGGTAATGTAGCACCAGTTCCTTCAGGGAGCTGTACAGGTTATAGGGCTCTGCAAAGCCATATCCAGTTGCTGTTTTGTTGATGACGCAATGCTTGACCTCACCGTCCACCCTGGGGAAGACACGAAACACAGGAGCCCTTTGAGTTTGTCCAGGAAAACTCTCAACTCCAATAAGATGTTTTTAACAAAGTCATTGTCCTGCAAGACCACACTCTGCATGCAGCCCCTGACAAGCTAGGGGAAGAGGCCTAGGCGGCTGTGACCTCTGTCCGGGCTCTGTCATTTACTGACTGGCTGAGGGACTTGAGCAGGGAGAAGCTCTTGGGCCAGCTACAGTGAGCTGTTGTATTTTCATCTTTAAAGGGATGTAAAAAGAGGACATGAGTAGCACATCTGTCACAGACATGTAAGGGTGTCAGGTGCCTGCCAGGACAAACCCGTGACAATGGCAGCTCCCGAGCACGCTGTCACACTACACGACCCGCAGCATTGCTGCTCCACTGGAAATCATGAACAGGATTCTTTCAAGCTCGCTCTGAAATGTCTACGCAACCTGCCACCTGCATTTTCTCTGTATTCTATTCCACTGTCCACCCAAAGGTCTCACTTCTTCCTTCCTAAAGGAGTATTTCTTAAATACAGATTGACTGTGGAATATAACGTACTTTTAGAATATTTCTCTACTAGAAGACTTGGACTTCTCTAACAGAGAAATGCCAGTGACCCAAGACTCACTTTTTAAAGCACTCCCCAGACTATTATGAAATAAATACATGTCTCTTCTTGTTCTGACCCGTTTCTAAAGCAGACTTTCCGTACTGGTGCTGTTCTCAAGTGAATTGCCTGGGATTCTATCTACACAATAACATTTAGGAAGAAAAACGGGGGGTGGGGGGCAGGGGTGCCAGAGGCATTGTGCTTCCACTTTCAAGCCAAGGAAAGACTTATCGATATCTCATGATTAATTTGCTGCCAAACTGGAACCCAAACCCCCATCCTCCTGCTAAAATGTAGGTTTCCTGCTATTAGACCTTACTGACAAACACTTCTGGCTAGACTAGAAGATGACTTTATGTCTATTTTATTTCCCCTTTCGCATTATTGAACTATATAATTCTTCAAGGCTAAGACCTTCAAGGCCTAAATCCTTCGTCAAAATCGATGCACGAAACTGAGCCCCGGAGATACGTACACCACAGAGCAGGCATAGCAGCCTTGCTTACTGCTCTCCCGAACGAGAAAAGTGCCGTCACGCTTCCCTCGCAGTAGGTTCTCGGCCTTGTTGCGGTTGCTGCTGCCCACATTCCACGTCTTCTCATCGTGGTGGGGCAAATCTTCGTCGTCTTCCACCAGTGAATATTGGCTGAGCAGGCAGGAGAGAAGGTTTGAGTGACGAGTGTGGGCGCCCCACCTCGCCCCGGAGCCTCCCCTGGGAACAGCCCTCCAGTCACGTCCACCCAGTTCTGTCCACTCTGACCCAGCCCTAGTTGGACCAAGCACCACGTGGGTGACCCGGCCCCACCACTCTGCTCTGCGTTTTGCACACTGTGCTCATCCTCCAGTGCAGCACCACACCCACCCACACACAAATTGTTAGCGATAACTTCGGCTATTTCTGTTTTCAGGTCAGCAATCACACTGAGGTACCTGGTGGAGAGGACAGTAAATGGTCCTGTTTACTGGGTTTAGATCAGGAAATTGTTTAGGAGGAATGCCAGCTTTTGAGTAACTCGAGCCAAATATATACTTAACCTTCAAAATATACTAAACATAACTGTTTTGTTCTGATTGCTCCAAAAATATTTTGGGATTTTTTTTTTAGATTGTTCAGGGACATCTTTATGGAGACCCATAGGGTTATTTTATACAACTATGGGTAAAAATAACTCCAAGTCCTCCTTAGCTAAACTTTCCATTTCAAAAATTCTAGATGATGACATTCAGTTTATATACTTTTCTCCTATGAGATGTTCCAAACTCATTGAACTTCCTCACTTGTTATAAAAACAGTCAGTTAAAATGAGGAAAACCTTTTGCTATCACCCATCTTTTGTAGCCACTTACTCTTCAGTGTTTTCATTGCCCAACCACTCGTTCAACTTCTTTTGCCGAACACCTTTTTGAGTCAACCACCTATAAAAGATGTGAAGAGAATGCGGTAATAACTCATCCTTAATCTTAGCAATTTCCAGCCATTCCCTTCCAGGGCTCTGTTTCCTTACATCAAGTACTGGTCTCGTGTCTTTCTCAGCTGAATGAGGTCTGGTTTAATGCTGTTCATACGTTTGTCAATCTCGCGATACTCAGCTGCCTGCTTTTTCAAGTCTTCCTCCAATCTTCTTCTACTGTCAATAATTTCACTGATCCGCGACTTTAACTTATCATAATTATGCATAATTCTGCAAGGAAGAGAAATGTATCTGTAATTGCCTGAGGACATCATGAAAGCTCCCCAAAGTTTATGAAAAGTTTCATCAGATCACAGCAAGATAAGGCTCCTCAGGTAAAGAGCATGTTCTTGTCATTTTTAAACTATGTAAAGCACAGAAAATGAGCAGGTTTTTTTTTCCTTGAATAGATTGTATGGCACATTTTTAATATATAATCACAGTAGATAATGAACAAACCCATTGGAGATTACATTATCTAAAAATAATGGGAAGTAAATAGATCTTCAATCTTCTAGAAAGATAATGAGAGATTTAAGACTATTCACTAAAAAAAGTGATTAAATATAACAACATAAAAATTTCTATAAGCCAGGCGTAATGGTGTACTCCTGCAGTCTCAGCACTTGAGAAGCTGAGGCAAAAACACTGCTGAGAGTTGGAGGCTTTAAAAGACTATGGTTATTTCTAGCACAAGGACAAAAAAAAAAAAAAAAAAAAAAAAAAAAAGAAGTGTTCATGGTTCACCCACCTCTGTATTTCTTTCTCATTGCCTTCACGTTTAAACTTTTCTATGTATTCTTTGCTGTACCGCTCCTGGGTTTGGCACTGTTCTTCAAATATTTTTATAGTTTCATTAAATGCTTCAATAGCTGTTCTTTTCATTTGGATTTCCTATAACAAGGTTAGTAAGACAATGTTATACCTTTCATAGAACGACTTGATTTGTATCATCTATAGCTTCTGAATACAGTCATCCTAGGTATCAAAAGAGACCTTCTGGGATCCTCCTCTGCTACCAAGATCCATGGCTGTTCAAGGTCCTATAGAAAGGGATGTGGGAATCACACAGAGCATGGCGACTTCCTCTTGTGTACTCTATAGTAGCTCTAGATTACTTATAGATGTAGCTCTAGATTACTTATAGATGTAGCTCTAGATTACTTATAGATGTAGCTCTAGATTACTTATAGATGTAAATGCTGTGTGAATACCGTATGGTATCCCTTAGGGATTAAGGACAAGAGAAAAAGCCTGTACATGTTCAGACAGATAAAAGATCCACCAACATGAGGGCCAACTGTACTGTTAGTGGCATGAGAATTCATAAAACCCATGAAAACAGTATCACAAAAATACATGGAGAATTTTCTCAATTGATGGAGAATGATCCAGCTTTCAGTTTACAGCGTTCACAGGGCTTTCTCCCCCTGGCTCTCCAAGAGGTACAAGTCTCTAGAAAAACACTGAAGGAAAGGTGCCTTCACCTTGCCTTTCACAGCAGGGCATCTGAATGTGAAATCTCCATTTCAGAGACCAGACAAGTCTGTGGCACTTTCAACCTAAGCAGAATTTTTCAACTGGGACTTTTGTCAAATCAACTTAGAAGTGACCCCCCCGCCCGTTCAGTTACTGTGTGGACGTAATTATTCTGCTAACTATAGGCTTCATTAGGTTTAGAGATTTAATGCTAGAATAATCAACAGTGATGCACAAAGAAATGATCTCCCTCACCCACTTCATCTGCAAATCTCAGCCTTTTTTATTCTCTCTCCCTCTTTCTTTTTTTTTAAAGATGACTATGACATGTGTTAGGGCCTGACAGCTCAGAGTTCTGAACTTTTAGTTCAGTTTTGCAGAGCACTCACCTGGGAAGTACGGGTATATTCTTCATATAATCTATCATATTCTCGACTTTTTTCTTGAAATTGAGTGTTATATTCATGTAACTTTTTCCCTATAAAAAAAAAAAAAAAAAAAAAAAAGAAGTGTTCATGGTTCACCCACCTCTGTATTTCTTTCTCATTGCCTTCACGTTTAAACTTTTCTATGTATTCTTTGCTGTACCGCTCCTGGGTTTGGCACTGTTCTTCAAATATTTTTATAGTTTCATTAAATGCTTCAATAGCTGTTCTTTTCATTTGGATTTCCTATAACAAGGTTAGTAAGACAATGTTATACCTTTCATAGAACGACTTGATTTGTATCATCTATAGCTTCTGAATACAGTCATCCTAGGTATCAAAAGAGACCTTCTGGGATCCTCCTCTGCTACCAAGATCCATGGCTGTTCAAGGTCCTATAGAAAGGGATGTGGGAATCACACAGAGCATGGCGACTTCCTCTTGTGTACTCTATAGTAGCTCTAGATTACTTATAGATGTAGCTCTAGATTACTTATAGATGTAGCTCTAGATTACTTATAGATGTAGCTCTAGATTACTTATAGATGTAAATGCTGTGTGAATACCGTATGGTATCCCTTAGGGATTAAGGACAAGAGAAAAAGCCTGTACATGTTCAGACAGATAAAAGATCCACCAACATGAGGGCCAACTGTACTGTTAGTGGCATGAGAATTCATAAAACCCATGAAAACAGTATCACAAAAATACATGGAGAATTTTCTCAATTGATGGAGAATGATCCAGCTTTCAGTTTACAGCGTTCACAGGGCTTTCTCCCCCTGGCTCTCCAAGAGGTACAAGTCTCTAGAAAAACACTGAAGGAAAGGTGCCTTCACCTTGCCTTTCACAGCAGGGCATCTGAATGTGAAATCTCCATTTCAGAGACCAGACAAGTCTGTGGCACTTTCAACCTAAGCAGAATTTTTCAACTGGGACTTTTGTCAAATCAACTTAGAAGTGACCCCCCCGCCCGTTCAGTTACTGTGTGGACGTAATTATTCTGCTAACTATAGGCTTCATTAGGTTTAGAGATTTAATGCTAGAATAATCAACAGTGATGCACAAAGAAATGATCTCCCTCACCCACTTCATCTGCAAATCTCAGCCTTTTTTATTCTCTCTCCCTCTTTCTTTTTTTTTAAAGATGACTATGACATGTGTTAGGGCCTGACAGCTCAGAGTTCTGAACTTTTAGTTCAGTTTTGCAGAGCACTCACCTGGGAAGTACGGGTATATTCTTCATATAATCTATCATATTCTCGACTTTTTTCTTGAAATTGAGTGTTATATTCATGTAACTTTTTCCCTACAGCTTCAATGTTATCTTCTTTGACAACTTGATCCTAAAAGGATTAGAGGGCAAAGTCAAATCGGTTGATAAAAGTATTAATGAAATAACAACTTCTTAGTAAAGGAGGAAACAAGGAAAAAAAATCTTTAAACTAATTGATTTAGCAATTTTAAAAGTACAATTGTATTATCATAGTGTAAAGTTTTTTCAAACCTGATTCATCTACCACGAAATGTTTTCTAAATTTGAAAATATCTTGTCTACACATCATGATAACCAGTTTTGATTACCTGTTGGTATTTGGATACTGGATACAGTAACTTCACATCCAGTTTGGGATTGTACTGAGCTAGAGATTCATTCCGGTAGTGGTTTATTAGTTCAACCACAGAATTGAAGGTTAATGGGTCTGAGAAGCCATATTTTCCATCTCGATGAAATATCTTGATTAATTTGTTATTCCCTCCTTTCCTATAAATTTAATGTAAAATAATAGTATTACAATTTCCTAATAAAGAAGTATGCTTCTGTGTTGACCCCAACACCCAAATCTCAGCTGTATTCCCTAACTCACCTTAGTGTAAGCGTATAATCACCATGCATTTTAGTGGATGCATCTCGTACCAAAAAGGTTCCATCTGCTGTATCTCGAAGTTTTTCATTTACTTCTTCCCTGAAATGAAAACAATGTTTACTACCTTGAGAACTCAGGGGCCATAAATACACTTTTTTTTTTGGTGTGTGGGGGTGATGCTGGGGATTGAATTCAGGTCCTCATGCACACAAAGTAAGCACTCTACCACTGAGATATACCCCTAGCCCTAAAAAACTTGATTTTTAACACAGATTGAGGTTCACAGCCAAATTGGGTGAGTAAATCAAGTCCCCTTATACCTATATCCTGACCCTCTAGATTTACATGTAGGTATTACATTTTCAGAGCTGATTTTCTTTGTATACAAAGGTTATCGATTTTAGTCCCATTAATAACAAGTGCATGAGAACTAAAAATAAAGGGGTACCCGCTGGTGCATCTATAATACATTTATTTTTGTAACAAATTAGCATAAAAAGTCACAAGCCCCATAAGGTTTCCCCTAACTCCCTCTTGACCCCCCCAAAATGCTTTTAAAAAATGTCATTTAATGTTCCTGAGTTTAAGACTATGACATTAATTCTTAAAGTTCTGCTTAATAGAGAGCAGTGCAGTGTCATCCTGGAGCCCTCCTGACATCTCTGTCAATAATGAAACTTCCCGGGTATTTAATTTCCTGTGGCATCCAGCACCCCCAGTACTTCAGCACTCAGTGATTTTTCTGGTTGTCTTTGGAAGAGAACCAACTATGCTCCATGCTTATGTTGGATAGTATCCTAAAAATGGAATTTAGCAGTCCTGTGGCCTCACCTGGAGATATCTCCCCAGTACCATTCAGCATCTTGTAAAGACATATTGTTATTCATACCGTTGTTGGCTACCGTGGTGGGTTTGGGTGGCTTAGGAGGCAGTGCTGCAGATGAAAGAGAAAGGAAAAGTTGCTTGCAATCCCAACTCCAATTGAACATTTAAAACTAGACTGAAAATGTTTCAAAAAATAGCATTTCCACTGTAACAGACAAAAAAGAAATTAGAATAACTGACAGATGCCAGTAATTCATAATTCCACACACCATAGAAGATAATTGTTTTTTTAAGAACAATTTCAGAGCTCAAAAAGAAACAAAACTGAAAAGAAGAGTGATAGAACCTTACAGATGAATAAATTGGGCTGACCATGTGAATTTTCACCATCTAGATTCTAGCTATATTAAAGTTGTATGCCTGGGTAAATTCATCTAAAGTAAAAAACTATAAACATATAAGCAGCAGAAATATGAGTTGGCTTTAATTTTCTCTCCTTATTTAATTATAAAACACAGACTTGGTCCTCTGTTCCCCACAAATGCTGTTGCAGTAACAGAAAAGCTCACCTAGATAAGTATGTTTTAAGAGGAGGAATTGGGTTTCTCTAATCAGTTTTTCAGGCACTGTTCTGCCAAAAGCCACTTTACGAAACTCATCGGTGACCTAAATCTTCTTAGTATTCATGTTAATATTCTGCTGGATAAACTGCTTTATATGCCAAGTGTTATTAAAAACCTTAGACCCCCCCCCTTCCTCAATGTCAAATCAGTATATATAATGACTTGGTGACAGATAAAAGACTGCAGTGTTTCTGAATTTCTTAAATAGGGGAAGGCTAAAATAGTAAAAGAAAACTGAGGAAACAAATCTAGGATTTTTGGCTTAATTTGAAGTCACACTTTTAAAGCACTGTTAGTATTTTAACTTTTGCAAAAAATGATTTTCAGGTGTCCATCAAGAATATTTTAACAAAGACTAGGATTGAAAAATGGAAACTCAATTTCTTTATACATTCTAAGTATCTTAATCTAACTAAGCAAGAGAGCAAGCAAAGTCCCCATATCAGATTCAGAAGAGTTTGGGGTCAGAGAGAACTGAGTTGGAATCAGTACTACATAGTATGCTTGCTAAAGTCAAGTGTTATCACTGCAAAGTACCACACTGTCCTCAGCCACTGTCAATAGAGAAACACGGCACAAAAGGAGGCATCATTTTAATTAAAGCAACGATATATGACACTATATCCCAGCTAGCAGAGGACCATGCATGATTAACAAAGACACCAATGAAAAAGTGAAATTTAATTCATATTCATTCAAGAACCAGCATTTACCACGTACATCCTGAGCTGCTTCCTTCCCCTGACAGTCTCTAATTCTCAAGTTATAATCAAACTGATTTTTATCCATGGAACAAATTAGTAAAAATAGCAAATGAAAGAGGACCTGTAACAGCAGCTTTCAAAAAAATTAAAAAGCCACAAAATTAACTAGCTCTCTCCATTAAAATTGCAGTATTACCTGGTGGATCCATTTCTATATAAAACATCAAGTCTGTGCCACAATTTATATCTGTCTTGGCATATTCTAAATCCAGGTCTTCCATATTCCAGACAGTGTTGTACATTTGTGCAAGAGTTTCCTTGGCTGAGCTCAGCTATAAGAAAAGAGTCCGGCTTTCTTTGTAATGGTGTCTTGGAATTCATTTTAAAACCTACAAGGGGCTGCACTGTAACCTATTACATCACACATCCCAGCCAATCAAGTCAGAAAAATGTCACCAGACCACTCCTGCTTCATCAGTTCCCTTCTATGCCAGCTTTCATATGGTCCCGAGCCTCACCGAGGACCCACGCATAGCACAGCTGCAAAGTACACAGGCTCATCGTTTCTAAAGGTGTTTAATTTCACTGTTCTCCGGCAGCAGTGAGTTTTGTAATTCCTTTATTACTCCGTGCAGCATGGCTCGCTCTCCGCGGTTGGCAGGTTGACAAAAGCTGATAGCTGCAGCTAGGAGCTTGCTCCCCCACCCCACCCCCGTGCATCTGGGTTTATAGATAGCCCTGCCATTCCTTGGTATAAAAATCTTACAAAGCCATCCTTCTGTTGTATGTTACAATCCTTATATATCTCTCATACATGTTACAAAAGCAGAAGGATCAAGAACTCTGGGTGTTTCAGTCCTGCATAATTTGCCCAGAGCTCAGAACTTAAAACACTGTCATAAATGTACTACATTAGAAAGGACAATTTTTTAAAAAATGTATAGACAAACTCTTCCTCAACTGAATATACCAAAGTTAAAAACGAGCTTTACAGGATGACAATAAAAATCTGCAGAGAATGAAGATGCCTACTATCACAGAAATAAGCATAATTGCCAACATTAGTAAGAATTTCAATGCTCCATTCCAACAAAACTAAGCAAAAAGTAGATACTTCTTCCAAAAAGAAAATACTAGACAGCAGATTAGAGGTATAGTAATCTCTGCAAAGTAGTTCATCGATGAACCAGTCTTTGGCTAATACTGCTTGAAAAGGAAGGTGATGTAATCTTTCTTCTTTCTTTTTTTTTCTTTCTTTCTTTTTTGCTTTTCTCCCTCTAGCTCAAATGCCTCACTCCAAGGACAAATATTCTTTATTAGCAGTATTTAAATCAATTTCGCTATAAGTCTAATGATTAATTTTGGTTCTTCAAAGTCTCCTGCATATAATCGTGTCACTGCACTGGAGATTAATGTACACTCCCATTGTGAACAACTGCTTTTGACATTCACAATATTCTGTGTGTGGGAGAAACCCCCCCCCATGTAAAGGGGGCTCGCTTTAAGAATACAGTGGGCACTGGTGGTCTATGCACACATGCATCTGTATGACAAACACTGAGCCCCTGAAATTTTGTCTCTTGGACATCCTATCAACTTTGGAGTCACGAAGCAGGTGAGAGCTCAGGTGGTGGCCCTGTCTGCATCCCCTCTTTGATTTCTTTTCCCAGGACTGGAGAAGGCAGGCTCATCCTGTCCCCTCCCACTTTATCCCACTCACACTTTTCTATTTGCCTAAATGGTAAAAGTGGCGGCGGGCGGGGGGTATATTCCCATCTAAAATTAAAAAAATATTGTAGTTCAGTAAAAATGTTTACCCTCGCCCCGCCGTATGAGGGGCCCAGTGCTTGGAGCAGTGCGGCCAGCCTAACACCAGCCTAGCCCTGCCCCGCATGGGGCAGCAATGGGTGAGAGCCCATCTGGCCGCTGGCCCATGTGGTAACCCGGCCTGAAGAGGAGCGCAGCGCTCGCCCGGCACCGACTGCCAGTCCAGCACTTGCTCATTAACTCCAACCCAAACCCCATCTTTCGCTTGCACTGACCCCCAGAGGACGCGAGGGAGTGTCTTCCCTAATCTCTCATCTGCCCTCTCCGGGCAGCATTCACATTCACGGGGTGTGCGCGCGTGCACACACACACACACTCCACGCATGCACGCTGCACGCGCACACACCTACCTGGTGACCAAACTAGCCAGGACCCGATCACATCAAAAGCCACAGGCAGAAAAGGCAACTTACTTTGCAGGTTATGCATTTCAACAGTTTCCCTTGGAAATGCCTGTATCCGACAATGGGGGAAAATCCAAAAAGCTGTTCTTTTCCCAAGTAGTTCCCCTCCTGCCGGCGCTGCGCCGAGCTCGCACCGCACAGGGAGCGCGCAGGGGCGG